GAATAAAATACTTTCGTTGTAACTTTCGTTTTTCATAACTTCAAAAATACAAAAACTCTTGTATTTTTTCATTGGCGCCCGAGCAGGGACTTGAAATTAAATAATAAATAATTTAAAAAATTACGAAAAGTGAAATTTAGTGATTATTGTTCGGTGAATGTTGGTGTGGTGAAGTATCAGCACCAGAAAAAACCGCTAATAAAAAAAAAAAAAATTTTTTAAACTAAATTTCGTAAATATATTCTAGAGCTGCAACTGGTAGCATCGTAATATTGATTCGTTCTTTATGGTTTATTTGCCGCGTGTGAAGTGGTTGTGAAGTGAATATCAGTAAAATTGATTAAAAGGAAAATTCCGCAAGCAGTAACTGGATTTGTAAAATACCAGCATCAGCTAGTGAAAAAACCGCTATTGTAAAAGGAAACACGTGCAGACTGCTGTTATACTGTTCTTCATTGCTGTTCACTGCCAGCAGATCGCTGCTGTCATTAACTGCTATTGCTCTTCGTCGCTGTTCGCTGCTACTGCATATCGCTGCTGCCATTCACTGCTTCAGCTCTTCATCGCAGTTCGCTGCTACTATACATCGCTGCTGTCATTCATTGCTTCAGCTCTTCATCGCAGTTCGCTGCTGTCATTAACTGCTATTGCTCTTCATCGCAGTTCGCTGCTACTATATATCGCTGCTGTTATACTGTTCTTCATTGCTGTTCGCTGCTGCTGCAGATTGTCGCTGCTATTCACCGCTGCTGTTGGTTTTCGTTTGTTTTCTGGATGGCGTGCCACTGTAACACCACTGCCGTTTGCCAGGTAAGAAAGTGCAAATAATGAAATTGTTGTACCAGGTCATGCTCTGACTAAACAAAATAGTCAAGAAAGTATTTTAAATAACTTTGCACTGGTAATTATTTGCACTTTTAAAACACCTATATTTTTCTATTTCTATAATAAATTATTTGACAAACGTGAAACAAATTTACGAAGCTGAGGTTGAGCTTCATTAACAAATACGTTCGGTAAATCCAATTATTTAATACAAATAATTGAGTAATTTGCAGGGGCAAATTATATACAAAGTGAATGCATTTTTCGTTTTCGTTTTCGCTAGTTACTTGCAACCACTTTGTTGGAATTTACCCATAATCACAATATTGATTATTTATCGTTTTTTATTATTCTATAAACAAAGTGAGTGCATCTTTCGTTTCGCTAATTTCTCGCGTTTACTTTGTTGGAATTTACTTACAACCGCAAAAACATAGAAATATAAAGACATGTAATTTGCCTCTGTTAAAAAAATCATGAATTCTGAAAAGGTACACGCAATGGGAAAAACATGTCTGTTCAAA